ATATATAAACATATATAAATAAAACCACTTGTTTTTACATTAGTAATTCCTTTTGTGCATAATTTTATATTATTGTTAATAATAAATTAATTAAAGCAACAAAACAACCTGAAGAGCCGGTTCGGAGCCGAAAGAACCGGCTCTTTTTAGTGAGCCGAACCGAAAGAGCCGGATCTCTAAAAAGAGCTGGAAATCCCATCACTATTACCCCCACTGGTTATCTTTGGTTGCAGTTAACTTGGGAGGTAGGTGTGGTCTCCCATGACAATATGAAAAACAATTATCTAGGGTACATTTCATAATGCATGCATATATCAATTCAATCTGGCTTGAAGTCTGCTATATTTTAAATTCAGTCTCGTAGAAACTTGGGATCTGTATTGCAAACATGTTACAGTTAACCTGTCGCTGGTTAGTGCAAATGGCTCATTGGGACATAGAAACCTAATATCTATGTCAAAGAATATCCAACCTGTAAAAGCTGTTTACAGTCAGAATCTTTTCCACCTGTATGCCATAAAAATAATACAAAAATCAATAGTTACATATGTTAATGAATTTTGTATTTATAAGGATGTCTTACTAAAATAGCACCTCTCTCAGCATGTTTATATTGTTTTCCTTTCAGAAATGTAGCATAAAGCAGACTTATAAACATTTATTATCAAGTAGCAGCTAAATGTTGTAAAATGTAAGCATGATGCTAAAGTGTAAAAATAAATGTTTCACCAGGTATATTTACTTTAATTCAAAAAATATTTGTTTGTTCATCTTTACGTGCATGTATGTGACAAGCATTTTCTCTGCTAGTCATTCTTTTAAGAAAATATCGCATGGCAGTAATTTCCTTGTTTTGTTTTTAACATACAATTTTCCAGCATTAAATTTTATAAAACGGTTATAAAAGTATTATGACATTATTACATTCACTTGGGTTCTATTTACATTTTATGACACAGTTGAATGCAATACACCAAAATAATGTTTAGTGTAATGTAAAGATGGCACGATACCACTTTTTTATGTCCAATACCGATATCATAAATTTGGATATCGGCCGATACCAATATGAATCCGATATAGTGTGTTTTTTAATTAAGACTGTTTTTTTAATATCTTGCTGCATTTTGTATAAGTTCAACTTTAAAAAAAACAAACAAACACTAAAGCTATTCTGTTATACCTGTATGCAAAAAATACACTGCAGCCAAAATATTTCATAGTTCAGCAACACTGATCAATCTAATAAACTTAACCCTTTAAGACCTACCATAGAACCAAGTCCGTCAGAGCTTATATTATATTTTTACATGCTGTGTGTCACGGAGGAGCAGGGAGGACTCGGCGCAGACTGAAATCTCAGAAAAACAGGTTTATTTACACACTCCAGGTGCACTATATACAGGTGAAGGAGAGGGGGGCCAGGGTTCCCAGGGGTGCGGAGAGGGGTCGGGAAAAGCGTCCAGAGTCACCAAACCAAGCACGAGAAATCTGCATACAGAGAACAAGAGTTAGCACGGAACTTTCACGGACAGAGCTCAAAACTGGCTGAGGCTAAAGTAGCACTGACGAGCGTTACTCAATAGTCCAGCGGCGAGGTGCTCTCAGTCACTGCCTTAAGTAACGGGAGCAAACAAGGTGAGGAGCCACAGGTGATTGCCTACAGGTGGTGGAGGCCGGGAGCTCACAATGAGCTCCGCCCAGGCAGCGAGCAGAGAGAGAGGAGAGAGAAAAGACAAAACATAACATGTAGCCACACAGGGCCAGCCGAGCAGGCACGGGGACCATGACACTGTGGTGCCATTTCTGGGAGCATTTCAAGTTGATATACATCAATACAACCATTATAGCCCAAATTTTAATAATATGTATGCATTAAGTGCATAGTAATTACATAAATTGCAAAAAAGTGCAATAAACTACAAAAAAATTGAAAATCGTTTTTGTTTTTTTAACATATATTTCTAGTTAGAGAAATTTAAGAGGCTTATCCCTCAAAACTGTAAATACAAAACAGTTGCACAAAATAGTTTCCACAGGAAATTTATTTTGAGTGTCTTCATAGTTTTAGTTTTGAAATACACCAATTTTTATTCACTGCAGGAAAAACGAAAATAAACATTATAATACAAATTAGTGATGGTAAATTTGATTCTTTTTACTGAATCGATTTTTAATGAGTCACTCACCAAAGTGAATCTGTTTTTTTGAGTCATTTGATTCACTGAGTCAGTGGACCAGAGAGTGCAAAAAATGTACATTTTCACTCGAACTTAATTTGTTTCTCTTTTCATGTAAATCCTACTGCTAAGGTGAATGATTCTAAAAGAAAAACAACTATTTTATAGAGCAAAAAAGAGCAAAAACATTTCTAAAATTAAGCAATTTCCTATCAAAATTGCTTAATAAACATTTATTTTGTTTATTTTTATTTTATTAGTATTTTCCTTAAATGTGTTAAATACACTCAACAAAAATATAAACGCAACACCTTTGTTACTGCTCCCATTCCCCATGGGATGGACGTAGAGACCTAAAATTCATTCCAGATACACAATATAACCATCCCTCCCAAACAGTGGTCACAAATCAGTCCAAATGTGTGGTAGTGGGCACATCTGCTATATTGAGATAATCCATCCCACCTCACAGGTGTGCCACATCAGGATGCTGATCTGACATCATGAGTAGTGCACAGGTGTACCTCAGACTGCCCACAACAAAAGGCCACCCTGGAATGTGCAGTTTTTTGCGCTATTGGGGGTCTGGGGACCCAGAACCGGTCAGTATCTGGTGTGACCACCATTTGCCTCATGCAGTGCAACACATCGTCGCATGGAGTCTATCAGATTGTCAATTGTGGCTTGTGGAATGTTGGTCCACTCCACTTCAATGGCTGTGCGAGGTTGTTGGATATTCGTGGGAACTGGTACACGCTGTTGTATACGCCGGTCAAGCACATCCCGAACATGCTCAATGGGTGACATGTCCGGTGACTATGCTGGCCATGCAAGAACTGGGACATTCTCAGCTGCCATCTGCCCTGAACAATGTGAACCATGATTCATCCGTGAAGCGCACACCTCTCCAACGTGCCAGACGCCATCGAATGTGAGCATTTGCCCACACAAGTCTGTTACGGCGACGAGCTGGAGTCAGGTCAAGACCCCGATGAGGACGACGGGCATGCAGTTGAGCGTCCCTGAGACGGTTTCTGACAGTTTGTGCAGAAATTGTTTGGTTGTGCAAACCAATTGTTCCAGCAGCTGTCTGGGTGGCTGGTCTCAGACGATCTTGGAGGTGAACCTGCTGGATGTGGAGGTCCTGGGCTGGTGTGGTTACACGAGGTCTGCGGTTGTGAGGCCGGTTGTATGTACTGCCATATTCTCTGAAACGCCTGTGGAGACGGCTTATGGTTGAGAAATGAACATTCAATGCACGGGCGACAGATCTGGTTGACATTCCTGCTGTCAGCATGCCAATTGCACGCTCCCTCATTGCTTGTGGCATCTGTGGCATTTTGCTGTGAGACAAAACTGCACATTCCAGGGTGGCCTTTTGTTGTGGGCAGTCTGAGGTACACCTGTGCACTACTCATGATGTCAGATCAGCATCCTGATGTGGCACACCTGTGAGGTGGGATGGATTATCTCAATATAGCAGATGTGTCCACTACCACACATTTGGACTGATTTGTGACCACTGTTTGGGAGGGATGGTTATATTGTGTATCTGGAATGAATTTTAGGTCTCTGCGTCCATCCCATGGGGAATGGGAGCAGTAACAAAGGTGTTGCGTTTATATTTTTGTTGAGTGTATATATTTTCTCATCTAAATGTCCACTGAGCTGTGAGCCAGGGGGCGGTAATGCGCCTTAACATTGGCTGCCAACCAAGAAGAAGAAGCTGTGAGCCAGGAGGGAGGGGGTGAGTGAGTGAGAGAGTGAGTGAGTGAGTGATTAGTTTGCTCTATGATTCAGCACAGGAGGGAGGGGGTGAGTAGCTCAAATGTGCTGTTAGCATGTTAGCAGAGGGATGCTACTGTGAACCGAGGAGCTATTGTCTTGATGTGAGCTTCTACTCAGGGTTTTTTCTTCCAGTTCAGAGCAGAATTTTTTTTGTTAAGATACTGGATGTTGTGTTTTTCTCCACAATTTTAATTATAAGCTAGATACATTGCTGCTAACAGCAACAGGGATGAGTCAGTGAGTCAGTTGGGTTTGTGAATCATGATTCATGAGTCAGTAAAGTGATTCTCGAGTATTGAACGATTCGTTCATGATTTGCGCATCACTAATGCAAATTTGCAAAAAAGCAGCATATGCATCAAAATAAACTATATCCAGCAATGCAATATGAGTCCTAAGCATCCCAGAAACGACACAGAAAGTCATAAAGTCAAAGATAACTTATAAAAACACCAGTATAGGCTCATGAAGCCCTGATGGTAAAAAACTACATTTTCGCGAAAATGTCACTTCCGGTTTCGGGCAGGTAATGGTGGACATGCGAAAGTTCGCGCTGACGTGTATTCCTGATGGCATAAGATGTAAGTACAACTCCTCCGGTTTCATATGCAAAAAAAATTATCGCGCTAGCTTACGTGGTTGCAGTGCTACTGGGATTTAAAAATAGTTATGCAAAACAGAGCGTGCCGCTCCGACCGGCTTTAAAGGGTTAAACCTACTCCATCCTCCCTATTCTGGTATTTTAAAGAGTAAGCAACCTAATTAATAGGGTTGCAAGCTCCCAGCAAAAATAAATAAATAAATAGGGAACCACCCTCCACCTCATGATGCTTAATCGACGTAATCAACTTTAATTTGATGCAGTGTGAAAAAAAAATGCAAAGAAATCCATTATTTTTCAAGAATAATTAAATATAGTCAACATCTTTCTTCAACAGAACTGCAGACTGCACAGATGGTACCTTCCCAAAGGAAAAAGTTCTATAGCTTACTAGGGTATATATATTAGACTTAATCTTCTTCTTCTTCTTCCTAGCAGTTAATATCCCGCGACGCAGGGTCCGCTATCTTGCATGCCTTCCTCCACTTCTTCCTATCAAGGGCGTCTTCTGGTGTAACATTCACAGCCTTCATATCATCCTTGATTCGGTCCATCCAGAGTTTTTTTGGTCTTCCTTGTGGCCTGTTTCCATCCAGATCTAATTGCTGGGGTGTCTTTGCGATGGAATTTTTATCGCTACGGACAACATGGCCGTACCATCGGAGTCTCGCCTCTCGCATCTTGTCTGTGATCGGTGTCACTCCCCATTGTTTCCTGACATCTTCGTTCCTCGCTCGGTCAAGTCGTGTGAGACCCGGAGGCCACCTCAGCATCTTCACCTCCATGGTGTGAAGAGCTTGTTCGTGTTTGGTCGTCGCTGGCCAGCACTCTGACCCGTAGAGTGCCACTGGGCGCACAATTGACTTATAGACTTTTGCCTTAAGATAGATTGGCATTCTCTTGTCACATAAGACTCCACTCACCTGATGCCACTTCCTCCACAATGTGTTGACACGGAGTCTGGCGTCTGGTAGAGTTTTGCAGTCCGAGGTGACAAGGGACCCGAGGTACTTGAATTGGGCAACTTTAGTCAGCGGCTCGCCGTCGATAGTGATGGTACTGTTGATCTGGGGGCCGCATTCAAGGTACTCAGTCTTCTTGATGTTCAGGTGCATGCCGTTTTCGAAGAGCCGGTCTTTCCATGCTTGTAGGCACACATCATCTGCATACAGGAGGAGCAGCAGGAGAGGGGGAGAGAGAGAGGCAGTCGTCCATATATCGGTTGTTAAACTTAACGCTGGAATGCTTTACAAACATTCAGAGATGAACTTTGTAACAGTTGCTATCGTAATGCAGTGTATCACCACATGGCGGCGCCTCCTGTCTCACGACTGGTGTCACCCCCTTTTTTGTTCTTCTTCGCACTCCTCCTGTAATGGATGCTCCCGTGTGTACGCGGACTAGTGTGCTCTTCAGTAATGTGTGGTAGAGGTAGCACTTATTTTTGATATTGTAAATAAATGAGTACTTTTTGGAAAGTCAGAAGCTGTTGCTCATTCGCTATCCACCTGCACACCTCCGCGGCTGGCTTCATCTCCACCGCACGTTACAACTTACACACTTGCTTTACTTCTCTCTGGGATCACTTTCTGGTAGATGAAATGCCAGTTTGGTAGCGAGCCTCCAAATGCTCAACCAGACAACAGGTCTCATGCCACAGCCGCTCTATCACGTGATGCATACTGCTCCGCCGCGCTACGGTCATGAGCCGAGTTACGCCATGTCGCAAGTTTTGTGAGGTGCTTTTTTGATATTTAATGGATCGGATTACATTTTTTTATTTCTCTCCGATATCTGATCCAGTAATTTAGGTCAATATCAGACCGATACTTAATATCAGATCGGTACATCTCTAGTGTAATGGACTTTCACTTGTGCACCTATTCTGTGAAGTACACTTGTGCCGTCTGGACAGACAGCACGATTATTGAATACATTATTGCATGCATTAACTGCTGTTATGTAAAGCAGTGACAATGGATTGAAACAGAAAAAAGCAAAAAAGAAATTGCAAGCATAAAAGGAAAAACACTGTAAATGTAAAAATTCAGTGTCAGTGTTTGCTTTTTCAGTTCACGTTGTTTTTTTTATCTTTCAATTACATTTTGTTTTCAGTATCAAAACCAGATGCTGTTCTGGCTTCATGTTACCCACCCAGGATACCAAGGTTGCCTGAAAATTCCTCTATCGGCAGGCTCTAATAAAAAACCTTGCAACACTCCATTCCTGATCAAAACTTAAATCAGTGTTCATGTGTTTAATGGGACAGTTTACAATGAAATTGTTCAGCCAGTTTTGGGGTGCTGCTGCAAGAAATGCTAAACCCGCTTCTTATTCTAGCTGTTAGCACATGCATGTGGGCCACCCAGCTGTCAAAAATAAGATTCGCACTGGCCCTTTAATGACTGGACCGCTCCATTCATTCCACAGGGGAGAACTCACCAACAAAGAACTAGATATGCCAACGTCTAACATAAATACAAAGAGTCACGGGGGGAAAGTGAAGGACACCACGTAGAAAATCGAGATAAAAGACTGTCTATGCTAAGAGTGGATTTAAAATTAAGTAAAGAAGCAGACAGTCCAAGGCTGCTTTCCCGTTCAGCCGCATCTATCTACTTTATTGCAGGGGCTGAGCCCCCGTCAAGGTAGCCGCAGTAGTGGATCACTAAGCGGAAAACAAGGGTTTTTCCTTTCAAAATAAAAGTAAAAGTAGGCCCAGCTACAGTACATCAAAGGTATCTGTATATTAATTCATTCACTCATCACTCAATTATATTATGCTACAATATTTATTACGACTAGTCTTTCTGATTTTTTTATGCTTTTACATTCATTGTAGTTCATTTTAACTGTTGTTTTTACGATTGGATGCATCTTATGATGCATCTTATGATTGGACTTTATAAAATGCCAGTACGCCAACATAAACAAGTTATCAGAGGTTCACTAAAATCTGTTAGGGTATAATGAATATCTTCTTTGTCCTTTATAAATAGACAACTATATAAACGTTAACGAGGGTCAAAGTCGACCATAATGCTTGAAGTTGTGACCGGAAGCGGCCTTCGTGCTGCCGCGCAGCCTCACAGCGGTGCTGCTGACTGGAAACAGGATGCTGTCAGGCCGAAGAGACGCTCTGACCTAACGGAGAGAAACCGCAGCATCATCCTTTGTTTTCTGGAGCTGGATATCCAGGTAAGGACAACTAACTAGCTTAGTTGTGATGTTAACCTGTCTGCATTTCATAGCTGCAATGGCTGAAACGGCACTGACACTTCTGATGAAACGCAGGACCTGTCTTTTTTTCTTCATTAGCAGTCTTGTCGTAACTAAGGCTATTGTTCGGGATAATGCGATCCAGTCAGGCGCTGAGGACAAATCATATAACGTAGCACTTATCCGTTGTTCTGACGAAGCCCTATGAGAGGTGCTGATGTGATTTCGTGTGAGGTTAGGGGTGGTGGTGCAGAGCTAGCTTCCAGCGCAGGAGCACACAGGCATTCCGAGGTGTAACATCCATGGCTGTGCTGCTGTGACGGGGGGGGGTCGCATTGCATTGCATTGCATTGCACTGCACCACCCCCACCACCAGCAGCAGCAGTAGCAACGCGGGGACGCGCGCGCATGCAGGTGTAGTTGGTGTTGTAAACAGCTCGTGACACATGGTATCACAGATAGGGACACCTCTGAATGCTTTGGGGACGTTTGTCTTCCTCCTCCATGTCACAGTGGCTGTAGATATATCTGCAGTATATGATGCTCATGCTAGCTTTGAGGGAGGAAAATATTGTCTTTTGGTGTGCGCACACTCACTTCTCTCTCTCTCTCTCTCTCTCCCCCCCCCCCCCCCCTCTCTCTCTCACACACACACACACACACACACACACACACACACACACACACACACACCTTTTCACTTACTTGTAGGCTGTTGATTATGCCTGACCATTTTGTGCTTGTTCCACCCTTTAACCATAAGAAACACTGTCCACTTTCACGCTGTCTTTAGCAGTAGCTGGTTCTTTGGCTAGCTGCAGTTACACGGGAAATTCCACCTGTTAGCTGTAATGTCGTGAAGGACTCTCTAAATGACAACAGTGTGGAGCAGAGTCCGTTTGAATCACCAGACCAAAAAGCCGGACCAGTGTAATCAATGTAACCCAGGGATCATACTGACAGTAGATGGCCCTAAACTTTAAGCACTTGTTCTTAAATTCAGCCAAACAGCCAGTGTTACATCTATGTCAGCGTTTGGGAGCATGGTGTAAATGAGCCTTTATACATTTAGTGCTTCGTGTCCACTTTACTGAAAGGAAACGGGGAGAAAAGGCTGCTGTGGCAATAGGGCTGCCACAAACGATTATTTTGATAGTCGACTAGTCACCGATTATTTTTGCGATTAGTTGACTAATCAGATCATCATCCATTGGACGTACAGCGTACAGCTTATTGCACCAGCAGCATCTGGTCTTATATAACTATCATTAGCTTACAGCTTGAAGTGTTTGTGCTAACTAAAAATAAAGACAAGATGGTAGTTTATTAATTTTTAATGAAATTTGCAGATTGTTTCGGTGAAGTTTAATAAACTCCTTGCTTTCTAAAATATAACAGGACACCGGAGTAAATTCTCCAGCGTCTCACACTTCTGATAATCAGCTGTCTGCTTGACAGTTTTAGCTGTGTAAAAACTATACCTTTAATCTCAGCCAAACCGATTTACTCAGGAACAAATAAAATACTAAAGAAAGCCAAACAATAACATTTTTAAGTTATCTAAGTGACTCATATATCATGTTTAACCTGAGTCGCGAAAGACGGCGGTGGGTTTGAAAACGATTTGCTGGGAGTCCGGTGTTCTCACGGCTCTAGTGAGCCTCGCCCCCGGCTAGCTATCGAGCTAGTGACTAACAGACGTCTCCGAAAACGTCGGAGCGCTTTTGAAAATATGTGGTGTCTTGATAAACTGAGCAGATATTTGAGGTTTACACAGCTACATTCTCGCCTGAAAATATGTGAAACGTTTATTTTATGACCCAGAAAGAATAATAAGAGTAATATTAAAACTAACCAGCTGCCGCCATTGTTGGAAACTGAGCTGGGCTGCGCTACGAATTCTGGGACACAGCTGCTTCTTCTTCTTCGGGGTTTAACGGCAGCTGGCATCCTTGTACATGCAGTGCTGCCATCTTCTGTTTCAGTCCGTTATTACACTCTTAAATCCTACTACTCATTCCTGCGTCCTTTGTGATCTTACAAAGCTTCAAACGATGCGTCAACTATTAAATTAGTCGTCGACGATTTTAATAGTCGACGTAATCGTGACTAGTCGACTAATCGTGGCAGCCCTAAGTGGCAACAAGTCGCTGTCAGTATCAGTCCAGTTCAACGGGGTAGAAAAGTGCTATATAAGAACCAGTCCATTGACCAGTTTTAGTGTTGAATCCAAATTTACAATGTGTGCTTCATCATCAGTAAGTATGGAGGAGGTCAGGAAAGTGAGTGGCAAACACGTTGGAGGTTCTGCCATGGTTTAGGGTTGTATTTAACCCAGTAGTGTTAAAATTCATGGAATTACGAAAACTGCAAAGTACCATCAGATTTTAGCTACCGTCTGAAAACTGATTTGTTACAGCTTCATTTTTCAGCCTGTGACCCCAATGATCCCAAACACGCTGCCACTGCGGTAAAAGCATTCATGGATTTAAAAACAAAATCAAACACAAGAAACTCAGTGGAACATCAGTCATGGTGTTATTAGTAGTAATACCAAGTGTTAGCTTTCAAGCTTGTTAACATTGTACAAACTCTGTTATGCAGCGTATATAGAACAGAATAATCCTTTAATTGTCCCACAAGGGGAAATTTGGTTGTAACAGCAACAGAAGAAAAGCACTTATACAAACAGAAACACACAATTTTTACAGAACAAATATTTACATCATGGAATCGATTCAGTAAATCACTGTTACACATTTACCTAGTGAAATATAAAGAAATGAGGAAGGGCTGAAGAGGTTTGAACAGAAATGAAATCACTACTGTTACAATATATACTCTAGAACAGCGGTCCCCAACCCCCGGGCCTCGGACCGGTACCGGTCCGTGAGTCGTTTGGTACCGGGCCGCGAGAGTTGAGGCTCAGGTGTGAAATGTATAGTTTTCAGGGTTTTTATCGGTTTTCAGCGTTATTTTGTTATCGTTTTTATGGTTAACTCGGTTTTCCTGGGTCTTTTCACGTGTGTTATGAATAAATTTTCTGTTTTTTGGTACCGGTACTAGTTTTATTTTTTTGTATTTATCCGTGACACATTAAAGGCCGGTCCATGAAAAAAAAGTCGGTCCGTAGCGCAAAAAAGGTTGGAGACCGCTGGTCTAGTACATGTGCTCAGCTTAAAAATCACAGCCAACAGTACAACAGTGCTTTTTACATTATGGGTAAGTTTACATTCATTAAGCTTGTCACAGAGCAGCAGCTCACCGTCTGCTCTCTGGGCATCATTCCTGCATCTTATAGTCATTTAGGGCAGCAAATAAGTCTTGATCACATAGAGTTTTGTGTGAAACTGTACACAGAATACAGTTTAGTATATAAGATACAGACCAAAAACAATGTCTCTGTATTTTCAGACTGAATAGTACAGTTCATAGTGCAGTGTTTCCCACACAGACATTACTGGGCAGGAACCCCAGGTATGCTTTATGATTTCATTTTTTCATCCTTCTGAGAAAACGGCACCATCAGTTTCCTTATAGGCCAAATTTTTAAGCCCCGTCACTGCTGGACAGGCTCTCATCTTGCAGTCAGATGGATTCTGCTGCCATGGACTGATTCTGGCAGCAGTAGTCAGTGCTTGTACTTGGAAGGTCACTGTCCACAAGCTGCAGGTGGGAGACTGGTTCATGCATTGCTAAGCTGTAGTTCAGTGAGGCTAAAGAAAGTTGCTGCTAACTCCAGGTCAGGATGTTGAAGATTGAGTTTTTGTCATTCAGATTAGACAAAGTTTAATCTGTGAAAATCTCAGGCTCTTTAATCTCCAGCACTTTTCTGCTCTTAGTAACCAAAGTGTGAAAACTGCAGGGGTCAGCAATAACCAGCACGAGTGCGCATCACAGAACTGTTCGTGTTTTGAAGGTTCAAAGTATCTTTACATGAAATGTGAAACACTTTACTTCCAAAATGTCTGAATGTGAAGGACACGTGTCTCACCTTTGTAAATGATGCTGTTCCTGTAAGGACTGCCAGCTCTTCAGTCGTGTACGTTATTAACACCAGAGGAAATTACAGTGGTGTGAAAACGTGTTTGCAAGCTTCCTGAATTCCTGTTTTTTGTATGTTTGTCACACTTCAGTGTTTCAGAGTATCAAGCAAATGTAAACGTTAGACAAAGACAATATAAGTTCCATGTTTTCGCCATTTGTGGATAAATGGCTCGTACTGTGTTTGGCTGAAGTTACACAGCTTTAGCCTTTTCAGACTCAGACCTGAGGGTTGTTTCTCATTTGTTCCTGAATTTTCTTGGATCACCTTATTCTTGATCGAGAACAGGTGTGGCAGTAATCAGCAGCAGCAATGGCCTTTATACATCTAGTGTTTCATGTCCACTTTAAGAAGCCACACTTCCACTGAGTCCATTTCTGATCAGGCTTGAGTGAACACTGTGGTGCAGCTGAAGTACATCTTCATGTCATCTGTTGCTGGGTATTTTAGTCAGGACCACTATAACCAATAGAAAAGGCAGACGTTTTCCATCTGCACCTTCCCAACTTTCCATGTGTATGTACATAGAAAACCAGTTAAAGGGAGAGCAACTATCCTAAAACAGCTATAAGAGACAAGCAGCTTCATACACAGAAGGCTTAAGGTAGCAGTGAAACCACTGGACAACTATTCGAGGAAAACCTTCTGCCCTTCCGTGTGAACGGGAAACCTTGAGGGAGGCCAAGCAGCAGAAAACATGGCCACAGGGAAGCCACTAACTCCTCTGTTTATCCCCAACCAGGAGGTCTGAGTCAGAAGTGAACAATGTTGAATTTGACCAGCGGTTATTGAATCAAATTCTTGCTTTCTTACAGAGTCTAGTTTTTCTTCTCAATGAGCTAAAGTCTGCCTAAAAAAGCAAAAACATGTGTGAAGTGTGTTTGCGTGAAGGCGATGCTTTTTCCGCTTTAAAAGTCAACATCAACATGACTGA